CCAATGGCCTGTGGTGTGCCTTGGCCTTCTCAGGTCAGTATGCCTAAAAGGGGGCATACTCTGATTGTAAATGAAATGAATGAAAGCAAGGTGATTGGGCGGGTGGGGACGTTCGTGACCCGCCGACGTGAATCCCCTGTGAGCCGTGCCGTCTTTAAAGGCTCCTCCCACAAATCCAGGCTAGCCTTCGGCCAGCCTTCAAACATATTGTGAGAATTCGCTCCAAACAGCAGCGCATTAAGGACGCATCCACTCGCTGAAATCTTCATTTAAGGCATCCTCGCCCACTTTTATCAAAGGAAAGTTCATGAAAGTTCACAAAAACAAAGCAATTAGCAAATCTTTAGCATCTCTTGGTGGCACATGCGCATCCAGCCTCCTTGCTTAGCATTTGCAGCACCGCTGCTCCGGTCTCAGAACTTAGGGCACCGTCTGTTCCTCTAGACAGCCTCAGTCTTGTGCTAACCTGCACACTGGGTTTTTTGATCCGCAGCACCCTGCTGCACTGGACTCCACTCTGACTCCTCAGTGGAGCTTTTCCTGTCTCCCAGGTGGAGCCCAGAACCTTAAGGTGCCCATACACCTGCCGATTATCGTACGTTAATCACGGGAAATCCAGCGATCGTACGATAATCGGCAGGTGTATGGAAGGCGTGCGACCGTCTCTACTGTACGGTCGCACGTCTTTTGTCTAACGAGCATGTTTGAAAACCTGGCGAGAATCGTACTATTGTCGGCGGGTTTGTGGCGTGCTCTTCAGACAAATGCCGAACGGGCCGGTGTGCGCAAGCGCATGCTGCCCGCTCAGCATTGCAGTCATCGGAAGCCCGCCCCTCAGGGGGGCGGGCTTTCGATGATCGCAAGTACGATCTGCCTGTCCAAGATGGGCGGATCGTACGTTTATTTAATTACCTTACAGCCATGGTTGTAAGGTGTATGGCCAGCTTTAGCCAGCACCCTTCACATAACTGTTGTGCTCAGGTTTGCAATTAGATACTGGCCACTATTAAACAATGGACCCAGATGGAGATTTCATCCCTCTCTTAGAAATCTCCCAGTTCCAGGATCCCAACTATAATCCAGAAATCCTGGGAAGAGCGACAAAGTCAGCTCTTTCCCAGTACAAGAACTTTCCTCCTGGAACCGCTCAGCCCCTCTGGCTGAGAGTCCCTGGTGTCTACATTGCCAGCATCTTGAAAGGCATTGCGACGCACTGCCACAATATATATATATATATACACCGAGTGGCCGGATTATTATATACACCGAGTGGCCGGATTATTTGATGATAGATAGATAGATAGATAGATGATAGATAGATAGATAGATAGATAGATAGATAGATAGATAGATAGATAGATAGATAGATGGATGGATGGATAGATAGATAGATAGATAGATAGATAGATAGATAGAGAGACGGATCAATAGAAATATAGTAATAGATGGAA